CTCTCTCTGGTTGGCTGAGAAAGTTCACCCTGATAACCACCCACCAATCATTAAATTTTTATGGTTCATAATCAGAGCGCTTTGGGGGGAATGTAGATATTTTATAAAGGGGGAACATGAATAAAGCCTTAAGGAACCTCGCCTAAGATCTTCATTTAGATTTATCATTGCATTGACTTCAAAATTTCAGTTTTTATACAATTTAAGCATGAGAAACTGCTGTCATGTTAAGTCATTTAAATCTCATTTTTCCCACTCTGGTGTTTATTTAAAACTTCAGAATATTTTTCTTTTACCACATATACATTCATATCAGATTAAAAGTACGTATCTAAAATAACTCTTGTTAATCAGGTATTAAACATAGCTTTATTGGTCAGACCTAAATATCTAATCTTAAATGTTGGGTTTTCAGTAGGTTACTAATTGTCATGATTTGCAAAAAGTCAAACCTTAAAAACTTTGTGAAATAACTAAATATGATTTTCTTTCATCTAGTGAAATCCATTGTAATAAAGGGAGTTTTTCCTCTCCAATGTCACTAAAAGCATAATCGGTGTGAGGGATTGCTGTGGAGTCCATGAGTCGATGCAATCAGCTGGTTCCTTAGAAAACTTTGACTGAATTGTCTCTAAAGTGCCTTAAGATGACATGTGTTGTAAATTGCCTCTATATAAATAAACTAAACTGAATCAAAGAGCAAACTTAAATTATGAAATAAATGTATTTTTATATGATATTCTAATTTACTGAATATGAAGATATTATTAATGGCAAAATACGCAAGCTGCTAACTTGATTGATAGAATCTCTTTTTGTGTTTGAACTTTGAGTTGAAGCAATTGAGTTCGATGTAGTGTACTGCATGGATAGGCCTTCAACCATAATTCAAGAGTGGTATGAATTTGGTTTCCCAACTTAGTCTAAAAGAAAATGTTAGCCGCACTTTTACTGATGCAAAATGCAAGATTCAAATAAAATATTCTAGCAAACATATTGACTTAGACCTCAATGGGAACAAAAATCACCCAGCAACTTTACCCAAAAATCAGACCTAAAATCAGTCCCTACTAAATCAGGCTGAGTAAATAGAGTGAGCAACATCCTGTTCTTGCTGATTAAAAAGATCCCACAAAAATTCAGACCAAGATAGTTAAAGATAAGGTATGCTGGTTTTTATATTTTTTATTTTAACCAGGCAAACCTGTGAGACCTTTTTTATGTTATCTTTATGTCTGCACTGTCTTGCAAATCACTTTTCTACAGAAGTTGGTCTCATTTGTTTGTTTAATTGTAATATTGTGTTTTAGTATTAAGCATTTAAAAATCAACAATTCTTTTTTTTGTTTTTTGGCCTCCATTGCAAAACTTTTGGACACACTTGATGTATTCAGAAGACTAAAGAGACATCCTGAATGTTACTTCAAGTATGAGCGGGTGTGACCTGAGGGTGATGTGGTTTCTGTAACTTTTAGAGTTTGTCTTCCTATTTTTTGCAGTTCTACAAATTTTGCACATCAAGTAAAAAACATTGTTTTCAAATTTTAATAAGTCCATCTGCAACCTCTGCTTGAAATCAGCAATGTTCCATATTCAATGTCCTAACAGCAGGATGTGCTGTCATAGTTTATTTTTTATCCAGTAAAACAGGCCCTGCACTGAGTACCACCGTACTACAGGGAGTTTCTACATATTTTTTGCACATTGACAGCATTGCTTTTCTTTTCTTTTTTTTGGATCACCTTAAAGTGTACAGAAAGCAGCAGAAAGCAGTCCACCAACTGAGCATACAGGAAAACACAGAAGGTTCCCACATGTCAACACTGTTGAGTGTCGGGTGAGGTACAGGGATGAGACAGCTGCCATTGGGCCTCAGCGTCCTTGGCTATAAGATTTCTAACCAGCAGCAGGCACACAACAGCACATTGTTGCTTGCTGTTGTAAATGTGCACACTTGCTTACACTTGTGGCTTTATGCACACAGCAACACACAGATAAGCCTCTCGTGCGGACACGTGTGGGACAGCACACACAGAGAGGGACAGTGAAACGCTATCGGCTAAAATCTCTGCCGTAGCACCTGTTCACAATCAACAGGCCCAGCTGTTCTGCTCCGCGCAGGGCACACTGATGTCATGTAATACACAGTGACACACTGACACAGACATATGTGCTCCCTTTCCACTTGACATGTTTGGCATAAACAAACTATCTGAAATGAAGCGGCTCATATGAAATATCTTAAAGTTGCAAACCAGCCGTGCAACCTCAGTCATCAGCACAACAGCTGCTTTATTCACACTAAATGCCCTGAAATCAAAATATATATAATATATATATATTCGATTTTTATTTTTTTTACTACAGAATAGTTTAGTTCAGTTTATTTATTTACAAAAACAGCAACAGTGTACAATAGACATTAACCTCTAGGGGGGAGATGCATTGCACCAGGTTATAGCTCAAGTGCTATTTCCTCCTTCAGTCCCAGGGCAGGCTGATCTTATAGTAAAATAGATAAAAAATCATACACACATGGATATTTGCATTTACATTGACCAGGAAAAAATATCATGCATCAGATTAAAACTCTTATTCACACATTTCATTTACTAAGGACTCGTCTGATAGACCTCAGAACACACACACACACACACACATGGTCTCATGTGGGTGCAAGTTTGATTTGACAAGGGTTGTTTCTTTGCTTTTTTCAGCTCCGTAGGCGACATATTCCACTTAGAAAGGCCACACAAGAAAAAGCAGAGTTTTCAAATGCTGTCCAGAACGTTTATGGATCCTGCATTCACCTCGCTCTGTAGATTAGTGGCTGGAACTGTTGCTTCTGAGCCAAAAGATATAAACTCTTTTAGTAGAGGACTAGCGGTGTCAGGAAGGATCTTATACATCAGACACAGATTTGTATTTATTATTAGATTTTCAAAGCTGAGAAATTTGTGTTTTATGAGGATATGACAGTGATGGAATTATCTGCTCTTCTTATTGTGGATCTTTAGAGAACTTCTATGTAATCACTCAAATGGCATGTGAGCAGATTTACAAGCCGGTCACCAACTTGTCATACAATAAACAAAATGTGGAACAATCATTGCATTTAGGGCCACCATTGTAAGGGAATTCCCAATGTGTCTTTAATGTGCCATATTAAAATTGATAGTATTTGAAAACTCTGTATTAGGACAAGGTGTTGTCTTAACTTTCAAGCTTTACAGGTTGTCCTGTCTGAAAATATCACAATAATCAATTAATATATTTACTAAATATTTGAAAAGAATTACTTTTTTAAATTAATTTTGCATTTTTACCCCAGTATAATCTTGCATAAATAAATAATATTACATTTTTCCCCTCTTTATATTAAGAAAACAGATGAATTCATCTGATTTTCCATCTCAAACAGTCTTTACTCCCCTGCAGCTATGTTTAGCCCTCCTACAGGGCTTTTTTTGGCAAAGATGCAAAAAAGTTAATTATCATTTTTACAATCTCATCCAAAAAATATTAAAAAAGATTTTTTTTTTTTCATTTTTAGAGAATAAATAATCCTTTTTATGGAAAAATTGACGTACGTGCCCACGTCTAACACAGAGTTGATTGATCAGATCTATATTTTAGCTTTATTTGGGTTTAATTACAGTTTCCGTGTTGGATTTACATATGGGCTCTGCGATGACAGATCATCATCCCCAAATGTTCCAGCAACCTCCAAAAGGGGGAGTTGTAAACCACAATCTTGGACTAAGATGACCATGATAGATGTTTAGTCTGGGTCAAGTGGAACATTTCTATTTGGATTCAACCACTTTGTTTGGTAAAAATCCCATAATATTCTTCCTAGCAGAGTGTTTGAGGAATGGAATACACAGGAACCAAGCCCACAGCATCACAGACTCTATACCTAACCTAACAATGTTCCATGGTTTCACATTTTTGCTGCTGTTTAGGAAGATGGAGCACTTATAACGGCATTGAAATCAGACTTTAAAACACATTCAAAAACAGAGTAACAAAAAAGAAAAAATACAAATCTAACTGGTGATCTTTATGGGATCTGTTGTATCAAAGAGACAAGGAAAAAGCCAGGTCAGTAGAGCAGCAGTTAATCATTGTGCTTGAAATGAAGGTCAGAGTCCAGCTCCTGATTACCTGTTAATTATTTAGCTTCCTGGAAAGTTCAGTTTAAATCCACTGTACATTTATTTTTATTCTTTCTTTTTTTCAAATACCACTGTTTTCATAGAAATTCCTGTACAAACTGTAGTTTAGCTCCACATGTATCGAACTCTGGTTAGAACCACTAAAAATACTCTTTATTTCCTGCATTCTGGATTGACGAACAGCGTTTTATTCCTTGATGTTTAAAAACTGTAAATACCAAGAATTTATATCTTTCTATATTTCATCAATTAAAAATATTAATGTAATTGTTGTTAGGATGCCTCCTTTATGTCTCCCTGGTGCGGTGGTCCAGGCACGTCCCGCCGGGAGGAGGCCCAGGGGGAGACCCAGGACACGCTGGAGGGACTATGTTTCTCGGCTGGCCTGGGAGCTCCTTGGCGTTCCCCGGGGGGAGCTGGCCCACGTGGCTTGGGAGAGGGACATCTGGGCCACACTACTTAAGCTGCTACCCCTGCGACCCGACCCTGGACAAGCATGGATGGATGGATGGATGTAATTGTTGTGCTTATAAAGAAAGTATAAACTTTATAGCCTCATAATCATGTCTGAAACAATGCCAAGAGGAAGTACAAAAGGGAAAAATACAAGGTCCTTGGACAAATTCAGGTCAGGATTATAGTGAGTTTTTTTTTTTTTTTTTTTACCTACACGTGCTTTATGACTTACTAGACATGAGGAAATAAAAAGAGGCAGGATGAGTGCTGTTAATAAAGATTAGACATACACAGCCAGGTTATTGTGCAAAAGAGAGAGCAGAGAGACAACAACAGAGGTGTTCCAAGAGACTAAATCTGTATCCCAAACCAACTAGATCAAGATGAAGAAGCTGCTGCTGCTCGTCTTGAGCATCACAGGTAAGAAAGTTAGGTTTAATATTCCAGGAGAGGAACAGATTAAATCCTCTCTTGAAGGCATTGTTTACTTGGAGCTCATGCAAGCCCTTGTCATGAAAAACTCCTGCTCAGAGTAGTTTTTGAGCTTTTGGACAGTAAACTCCGAATCTCAGTTATGTTTGTTTAACCTGTGTAATGTACTCTGTGGTCTCAAGTCTTATGAAGGCTTTAGCAGATTTCTACTGGAATTGCTCATATTTACAGCCTTCCCCCATCTTCCTCTAACCACAGCAGCATGCTGCTACAACAGTAATGATGATATGTTCTGAGCTATTTGCAGTGTTTTCTGCTAAACAGCTTTCTGGATGTAATCCATAACGTTTAGTTTTGATCTAATCTGATAAGAGCACCTTCTATCACATAATTGATGTCACCTATGTGGCTTGTAGCAAATTTTAAACAGGGCACCTCATTCATCGTTTTCTCAGCTGATCAGCTGACAGTTGCCTTTTTTTTGCAAATTCTACCATCTGAACATTGAATCTTTGCAACTCCTCCAGATTTACTCTGGTCCTCTTGATAACCCTGTAAGGGTTTAAATTACACACTAATGGATTAGTATTTTTTTTTATTGGATTTAAAATTTGGAAACTAATCGTCATATTTATAATTCATAATGCAACTTTGTGTTGTTGTTTTTTTACATAAACTCTCATTCATTGAGGTTTGTTAAGTGACTATAAATACAAAAGGTTAAGCATTATAAACATGTAACAGCCTTATTTCCAAATAACGTTTGCTAAATTAATCTCATGTTTTGTTTGTTTATTTATTTTTTTTCTGCAAATGTTTAAATGTTTCCTTTGCAGTGGTGCTAGGGATGCCAAATTTTCAATCTAAGGTGGGAGAAAATCCAGAGGAAAACCAGCACCCAGTTGTTGGGGACGTGATACCAGCCCACGGTCATGTGGTGGTGGAGCATCCTGCACCGCAGGTTTTACTGAGCCCCAAAAAGCAGCAGGAGAACCCAGATCCAGAGGAGCAGAAGGAGAAGGAGGCTGAAGCTGAGCCCAAAGAGAAGCCAGGCCTTACAGAGGTACAGGGACTGAAAACAGACATGAAGTCTGAAGAGAAGGAAGAGTTAAAACCAGATCCCAAACCAGCAGCAGAGGCACCAGTAGAGGAAGAAGCTAAACCAGAGGCAGAGTCAGAGCTTATAGAGGAACCAGATTTGAAGGTGGAATCTGAGGTCAAAGTCGAAGTTAAAGGACAACCTCAATATGAGCTGGAGGAAGAAGAAGAAGATAAAGAAGAGACAGATTTTAGGGTGCAGTCAGAGGTTAGGGTGGAAACCGAGGTTAAGATGGAGCTAGAACCAGAAGAGGTGCATGTGTTAAATGCAGCTCCAGAACAGTTTCTGGAAGTTGAAGAAAGACATATAGACATGGAAAAGAAACCTATGCCCATCATGGAATTAGAACCACTGGATGATGGTGACGTCCATGGCGACGAAGTGAGCAAACCAGTGCTCTCAGAGGAAGAAATGGCTTTTAGAGAGGCCTTTGAAGAAGAGGAAACTCCTGCTGAACATTTGACAGAGGAAGAGGAAGAAGAGGAGGAGGAGGAGGATAAGGTTGATGGGGAGGAAAATCTCCAAGAAGAGAATGAAGACCAAGTTTCAGATGAGGAAGTGGAGCCTGAACTGGCAGGAGAGCAGAGTCCAGATGGCATACCAGAAACTGCAGCTCTTGATGAGGAACCAATCGACCCAGAGATGCAGCAGGCAGTCCCTCTGCCACAAAACTCTTTCCCAGCAGAAGAGGCGGAGATGGGGATGTACGTAAGGGATGGAGCAGCACCCGAGCAGTTCTTAGAGGAACCTGCAATGGAGGAAGAAGGTTTTCCAAAGATGATGGGAGATGATAAATACAGGCAAGGTAGGTGAAGATAAAATATTTTAGACAATCTTAAAACAAAGCTTTATATTGAACTACATTATATCTATATAACTTTGACACAGTTTCTGAGTGTTGGTTGAGATTGTGAAAAATAAAAACTAATTTAGTCAAATTATTAATTTTTATTGAAAATGAAATAATTTTTTCATTTGAATTTTACGAATAAGTAAATGTTTACACTTATGTGGGAGAAATGATGCACTTTTGTTATTTGGCCACAGGGGCGCGCTATTGTCCAGGCATTGTTACGGATGGAAAGTGTCACCAGTTCTTTAGGGAACGTAAGACATTTGAGGATGCTGAGGTATGATTGTGTTCTTTCTTCAAGTCAAGAAGGTTTTAGTTTGATGATCACATGAATCATGCCCCTTCTTCTCTCTTTTTGTTTGTGTTTCCTTGTAGTTCTTTTGTCAGGAGCAATTTTCAGGTGGCCACTTGGCCTCCATCACAAGCCAACACCTTCACCAACAGCTGATGAGTCTGGTTCAGCAAAACTCAGGATACACACGCACCTGGGTTGGAGGACTACGAATAGAAGTGTGTATTACTCAGTCAGGGAACAATATTTCATATCTTATCTCTGTTAAAATGCAGGTTATTGAAGTTTTCCTTAGTATGCAGCAGGTTAACATGTACTGTGTGGACGCAGATAAACGTTGGCTTTTGCCTTATCTTTAGAATGGTTCATTTTCCAAAAAATAATAGCAAACAGTTAACTTATTACGTGGACTTTGGTATATTTCAGAAGCGCTTTGTCTGGTTGGATGGGTCCCGCTGGAGCTATGAAGACTGGCTCTCAGGGGAGCCAAATCACACTTCAAATGTGGAATATTGTGTAGAAATCCTGGGTAAGCAATATCAAGCTCTTCAAATTTATATTTTAGATTCATATGTTTTTTAAAACAAAATTAGCTTTCACACTTATTGCAATCATTTGGGATTTTAAGGCTGGTAATATTTTAATTTTTTCAAAAATATAAAACGTTTTTTAGAAACATGCTGGAATCTAAGCCTCCAGGGTCCTGCTAGAAGACCTCACCCTTCAGACTAAATTAGACCCCGAAGAATGATTGCTATAAATTACTTATTCTGTCTGTGTCTTAATGAATAAAAGGCATCTAGTGCCCCCCAAAAAAACCTTTTTAAAAACTCATATTGGGGTTTAAACCTATGACCACAATCATTACCAACCAGTTTGGTGCTTAAAACTACCTTTGTGTCTACTATGATTTATAACTCAATCCAGATAACTTTTTAAGCTAAGTAGCTGTAAAGCCGGGAAGCCAAACAGTCTTTTTAATGTAAAGAAAATAAAGGAAGTAATGTTCTGCAAAGTCTTATTATGACATCTGTCATTCTGGAAGTGATTTTTTTCCCTTATCAATATGGGCTTCAATAGGCAGAGCGGACGCATGTCTGACTGACTTCCACAAAATGGTATAACAACAAAATAAACGTATTCTTCCCTAAGGTTAACCTCTGGTATAAAAACGTTCCCTGTGTTTGACTTATTCTACAAACTTATGCCAATAGATTCCTCAGCCTTTTGGAATTTTTCTCCAGGGCTTAATTAACTAATTATTTGTATCTTATAAGAAGCAATAATTTATTCTGCCCAGCAGCGGATTTCAGTCTTCATGGCTAATGAAGTTTAAATGTGTTATTGTAAGGTTAATATTTTGTGCTTTAGTAATCTTATCATACAGTGCCAAGAAGAAGAGTCTGCCCTTTAAAAAAGTACTTATGTTTGCTTTTTGTGAACATTGATGTTTCAGTTCATGAAATAAGAAATTCTTGCGTCAAAGACAACCAGAGTGAATACTAAAGGCTCTTATGAAACATATTTTTTACTAAGAAAAGAGAAGAGTTCTTAGTATATACTAAGAACTCTTCTTAGTAAAAAATTTGTTTCATAAGTCAGTATTCAAATCAATTGTTATGGCAGCTTTGTCACCATAACAATTGAGTTACAGTAACAAAGCCATAAGCAGAAGAATTCATGCTCAAAAGACCCCTTGAATTTGACTGAATTAAAACAATTCCGCAAAAAATTCCTCCATACTGAGAAAACTCATCACAAGTTATTGCAAATGATGACAGGTGCTGCCACTAATGTTGAGAAAAGTTGATATTTGGTTTTATTTTTATTATTTTGGTTTGCACTGTTTTCAGCTAGTAAATTCAAATTTGAATTATTATTATTATACTAATATTATTACCATTTAATTATTTAGGTTTGCTTTATTTTGTATAAAAAAGAATTTTGATATAGGTAAATTCATAAAATGTCAACAACAAAAAAAACAATCCCCGAAGAAATCTATGAAGAGGCAAATTATTTTTCACTGCACTGTTACATGATGGTTTAGGAGCTTTTTTTTACTTTGTTTAATTATTCTAAGTTTAAAGGGGTCATAGAATGCAAAAAGTTTACCTTGTCATAGATGAATAATGATAGTTCAGTGGGTGAAATGGACGTACAGAGAAGTTCAATACCCATTGACACCTCCTTTCTCTGCAAATCTCACAATTCTAAACTTCCACCATAAAACGGGCAAATCCAAACGAAGCCCAGAGTTGACGTAAACTTGGGGATGATGCCTTATTTGAGCCGCCCGTCCTTAGCCGGAGGAGGGGAGCTGGGGGCTGGTAGGCCAGGCAGGGGGAAGCACAGGGCCACCGGTGTCCAGACTACCATCACCAGGTAGGGTTTGGTCACTCCGTCCCCCGCGGGCTCCCTGCCTCCACCCGCCTGGGGTTCCTGGAACAGCCCCGAAGCTGATGTGCCTGGTGTGTTTCGACTACGTGCTGCTCTGTAGTCGATGACTTTAAAATTCCAACTGGACATTTTTTTAAGGAATGAAAAGTAGAACATGTCTGGGAAAAAGAGGACGTCTGGTCACCCTACCATATTAACAATGTTGATGTTTCAGTGAGTGAGTGCTTGTTGCTATGATGTGTCTTTGCTCAGCAGCTTTGCTCGTTGTAAACCAACCAATCAGCGCACAGCTCATCTAAATATTCATGAGCATACAATAAAAGGAAAAAAACCTGTCGTTTCATTCTAGGGCTTATAACCAGGCTTGCATTAGGGCTCATACAACAGCAAATATGCCATTTTCAGCCCAACCAATGTTACACACCCTATTCAGAGAACTTAAGCAAATACCCTATACAATCATTCTATGACCCTTTTAAGTATTAAAAAAAAAAGAAGAAAACTTTTAAGTGTACATTTTTTAAGTTTATTTTTGTTTTTGTTTTTTCTCAGGTGATGGAAAGTTTAATGACTTCCCGTGTTGGAACCTTCAAGCTTTCATCTGCTCCTATCCTACTCAATAAATCCAGAGGAAGATCAACAGCCTGACTTTTTTTTTTTTACCAGATTGTTTTTGATCCAAAGGTTGCTGGGTTTTTTTTCTTTTCTTCCATTGCTTTATTCTGTACTTATCAAGATATAAATTCACAGGCAAACATTTCATATGAAGTACAACCCCCTGTGTGATTAAGGCAGTCAGTGTCTGTCAGTCAGCATAATGTTAACTTTAAAGAAAAAAAATTATTTTATTTTTTTGCCTCCAACAGTAGAGATGGCTGTGTTTTATTTTATTATATAACATGGTCATGTCACATGGTTGGTATGCTCCAATCAAATTTAAACAACTTTTGATTTAATGGTGGCAGCTGGTTGTGCTCTTTTGCTGCTTCCAGTAAAACCATTTGCCCATACTCAAAGAAATAAACAATATAGTTGTTAGATTTCTTTTCATTATTTTTTAATAGAGAAGTCCTTAAATGAAGAAAAATACACTAACTGGTAATTTGGTTGTGAATACTAGCATGATAGAGTTAAAAGGTAATAATATGTATATAGTTATATGTGTAGGCTGCTGTATGTTTTACTGTAAAGATAAATATCAAGGTATGAAAAATCTACAGTATTTACTGTCAGGAAGGCATGAGACATACCGATCAACTGTGATTGATAATTATTATTCATTATGCATACATTAAATAAAAAACAATGTTTTTGAAGTTATATACTCTAAAGAATAAAAAAATCCCTTTAAAAAGAAATAACTTGGAATAACGGAGAGTAATAGGATTTCAGCTACAGTCTTTTGTTTTAGATTTGTTAAAGAGCGACATTTATGATGTCAGCTTGGCATGTTTTTTATAAAAGTTTCAATAAAGATAAAATGCAAATGTTTGCCTGAAAGACTTCTTTATTGTAAAGCCATCAAAAGCTTTGGGTTTAATTTAAAGCATGAAATAAATAAAAAAAGAGATAGAAAAGGCAAAGCCAGGCTAAGATAGAGGTGAACTTTCAGCTGCCTGAGGACCTCTG